ACCCATTACCCCAAAGGAAATAGAAGTCATCAAAAGTCTCCCAGCCAAAAAAAAAAAAAAAATTCCAGAGCCAGATGGTGTCAGTGCAGAATTCTACCAGAATTTCAAAGAAGAGCTAAAAAGATATACTCCTTAAATTGCTCAACACAATAGAAACAGAAGGAACATTGCAAAACTTTTTTCTTAATGATATTGTTACCCTGATACCAAAACCACACAATGAGCTCCTGGGAGCTCATGGACTTTGTTTTCTTTGTTTGTTTTGTTTGGTTTTTTCTTTTCTAATCTTTTTTATTGATTTTTATTGAGCTCTACATTTCATTCAGTCATATTTATAATGTCTTAGAAAAAAAGAATTCTTACTATCCATTAACTTTGAGCTCTTCCGAATTATTTGCCCAGAGATTTTTTTTTTTCCCCAGGACTTCTTTTTATCCTTAGTGCCTTAACCTCCTTTACAGAAAAGATTTGCCAGACTTGAGATGTAAAACTTGGTTGATCTGATAATTTAAAATAGTTTTATTTGTTTCAGAAAACAGAAGTAGGGTTACTTATTTTCCAAAATCACTTTTGAAGCAATGTGTAAGGACTGGGTGATTGAATGCTAGTGTTGCCAACTAGAATACAGACTATAGAACCAGCTGGAAGATAGACTCCTGGACATGCCTACAGGCCTTAGGGTATCTTGTCTAGGTTCCCTGCTAAGGAAAGACCCACCCATCAAGACACTATTCCCTGACATGGACTGCTGTGTTAGCAGCCACATAACTAGGCAGAGGCAGACGTTCAGAGCACTGCCCCCTGGCTGCAGGTGACACCTGGACAGCTCTTTCAACCCCTGCTGCCTGACTCCCCTACCGTGATGGACTATGCTCTCAAACAGTGAACCATCTTAGACCCCTCTTCCATAAATCAGGTACTCTTGCCAGAATAGTTTATCACAGCAATAAGAAAAGAAACCAACACAGCTATAAAAGGTGAATATTTAAGAGTATGTTTATCTTGATTTGACATGGCTGGATGCTTAGAAGATAAAAAACATTCCTTCAAAATGAACAAAAACCCAAACTCTCTGAACACTAAGGTTATGAACTCAACCTTTAGCCTCTCTAGGGCTCAATTCAGCTATTTCTTCAAACACTCATATAATCCTGATATCCAAAACATAGACAGCTCCATTATGACTTTTATAAACTCTTCAAAATACTTTACATTCTAAACTCAAATCTTTGTTTACCCATACTTTACAAACCTTTGAGTGATTAGATATTTACTGAAGAAACTGAATTTTAGGATTCAGTCACTAGTTAAACAGACTTCTAGGACCAATTCATGCTAACTGGAGACAAACAGCTACTAGAACCAATTCACAATAACTGGAGAGCCACAGAATTTAACAGGTGCATCAGCTATGCATGACTTCATTTCTAAGAGAAACTGAAAATGCTATATTGTATAGACTTTCCCCTACCAACCTACTTTTAATTATACATCTGATGACCACTGCCTTAACCACACATTCACCAGATGCTTGTGGCTATCACTCTCATTCCTGGTAAATGAGGTAGGTCATTAATAAATAATTGTGGAATAGGTGACACTCTGATATGAGTTTCCATATAAAAATTATTTCCAATTAAAGACTCAAAGTTCTTACCTATGAGTGATTGCAGTTGGGTTCCGCATGAAAACCTATTTGATATAAGTGCCATCAATATTATTTGCAGCAGTGATGATATATTTAACATGTAGATTGTCAATGGGACATATTAAGAACTGTGGAACCCTGACTGCTCTTGGGACTGGAGAGGGAGGGGGAGAGGAGTGGGGGAGAGAGAGAAGGGTGGGAGGATGGGGAGGGAAATGGGAGGCTGGGAGGAGGCTGAAACTTTTTTTTCCTTTTCTCAATAAAAAATAAATAAAAATAAAAAAAAATTCTACTCTCAAAATATAAAAAAAGATCTGTGTACCTGATCTAAAACAAAACTTTATTCCCATTTTCTCTAGAACACACAAAATTAAATAAAGAACACAATAGTAATTCATCTTAAAACAATCAACTTGCATGAAAATTATCTTTTAAACACCCACACAGCTCCATGATATATTCCTTTTATTAAAGTAGAAATTTTCTATATTATGGTTGTTTGATGCTGCATAGTTCACTCAGCTCATGGTATTTCAACGTCCTCATACGGAGTTCTCTTGGCAGCAAATATAAATATAAATCCAAGTACTCAGTGGGAAAGAAGGGACCTCTTCTTATGACTTGATCAACCATTCTTAAATACAATACCAACATTTGCTTTGCTATTTGATATCAACTCAGTTATTATAGATGTGATATAGATATATTGTGTGTGTGTATGTGTGTGTAGGTTGGTATGGGTATTATCAGACATGCTATGGTAGAAGACTACTGAAAGAAATACTTGATAATAATATATGATTACATAAAAAGTATACATGGAAAGGCTGGGGAAAGAGACATAGTGACCTTCATATCCTCCATCTTAATCGATACATCAGAACACTGACTTCTAAGTTTACAGCTTTTTAAAATAAATTATTACTTTGTTTTTATTTTGTAACAGTTTCTTGTTTATTTTTATCTATTGTCTTTTTAAAACAATTGTGCAGTCAATGAGGAATTTAATTTTTGTTTTTACAAAAAAATGTTTTTTTTTCTCATGGGTCTTCCAAATTAAAAATACATACTGATTTTTAAGAATCAGAAATACTTATTGACCAACTTGTATGTGTCGCCACGTTGAATACCGCTTTATTGTGAAATGGCTGCTAGAGTGAAATAGCGCGTGTTAGATTACAGGCTTACCGTGATTGTAAAGGGAACAGTTAAAACCTGCGCCTAGCATTTTCCCAGCAGAGAACACATAGCTGTTGCCTATTGTCACTAGGCTGTGAAGTCGATCTCCTGAGCTTAGCCTCCTGCCTAAGCGCAAAAGAATGTGGATTTTTGATGTTTCTGTAATTGCATTACGTTGTGGCTTTGTCTGAGTTAATTCTCATTCATGTTTCTCAGAACTAAAAATCTCATTCAGTCTGGACCTCATTCTTTCCTTCAACTACAGAACATTTCTCTCCTTTCAATTGCCGATTCTCCTTTATCCTGTTTATTGTGAACTTCACTGAGAGATGTTGGAGCCACTAAATCTGCCCTCATATATCTTAACTGCTCTTTTATACACTGTGTGTGTGTGTCTGTGTGCATATGTCGTATCTGTGTGTTTGCGTATGTATGTACTATATGTGTGACTTCATGTGTATGCGTGTGCATGTATATGTGTGTGTAGTTCACTGCTACCTATAGGTAAATCTTTCCTGATTGTTTCTATTCTGTAAACAATCTATGAAGCATTTTATGATCCTTCAATTTTGACATTGTTACTTTATATTTCTTAGAGCCATCTATCTATTAATGCCAATATTTATTGTTTAAGCTGCCATGTTCTTTTCATGGTTTTTGTGGCAGACAGATAATCAGTTACTACCTGGTTCTCTCAAACATGTAAAGGTTCCAGTTCCCAAACAAAAGATGACTTTTATGATGTTTAAGGCTGAGAATGTAATCAGGCATCCTTCCTTGAGGGAGGCAGAAATATGGAAGAGAGTGCAATGCTGATGATGGTTTTAAGAAGCAGGAGAAACCAGAACAAACAAATACAGGAACCTCTAGAATCTAGAAGCAGAAAAAAAAGTGATTCGCCTATCCAGAGTTTCACAAGAAAACCAGCTTAACATGATGACACCTTGATCTTTAACTGTTCTAATCTTCTGCTATGTACTTACAAATATTTGATGATTTAGCCACCAATATTAAGGCAATTTGCTGTTGTCTATAGGAAGCTAAGACTGATTATTTCCCCCTTTTAAGGGCACTGAACATATTAAATGCTTTTATGATGTGGGATTTCCCCCTGTATGCTGTGATTACCATGATTAAAAAAAACTACTTTGAGCTTATAGCAGAGCAGGGCAGAACAGAAGTAGGCTGGTAAAACAAAACTGAATGCTGGGAGAAAGGAGGCAGAGTCAGGAAGAAGTCATGTAGCTCCACTGGTGACAGATGCTGGAACTTCACCTGGTAAGCCATAGCCACATGGTGATACACATATTGATGGAGATGGGTCAAATTAATATATGAGAGTTAGCCAATAAGAAGCTAGAGCTAATGGGTCAAGCAGTGATTTAAATAATATAGTTTTTGTATGATTACTTTGGGTCTGAGTAGCCGGGAACCAACAAGCAGCTTCCTTACAACATGTTTAGAGTCTTCTTATTTATTCTGCCATAGTTATTTTATCTGGAACATTACCTTATTAAATTTCCCTTCAACCTTGTTCTTTCTCCTTGGAGACACAGACCGATGACCTGGTAGTCACCTTCACACATTCTACCCAGGAGTTTCCAGCCTTGAGTAGAGGTTCATTGTTACCAGTTTCTACACAGGGCCCCTGGGAGAATGCTGGTCCTATAGAGTAGAGGACCATGATGACAATAATGACCTCATCATAGCTGCACTGCTCTTTCTCTTTGTTATTTTGACAGATATTATTGCTTAAGCTGTCTCCCAGGCCAAGATCAGCAGCTCCTTTCATCAGCAGTATTTTTAAGCTCATTAGCAGTTACTTAGAAGAATAAAACAACATGTAAAAAACTTGAACAATGACAAAAGATATGGACTGCCAAGAAACTGAAGTTCACCTAACTATTTGGCAATTTTATGAGGTCTAATCATTTTAATATAAGTTGTACATCTGAGGTACGTATTTCTTCAGACCATTAGGGTGAATTCCTCCTCTTAAATGTGCCTTTATGTATATATAGACACATAAATATACATATATATATATATAATTTAGATTCAAATATATATCCATGGATGGGGGTTTAAGTAAGTTTGTACAGTGCTTGCCTAGAATTCATAAATCCCTGGGTTTATCGCCAGCACAACATAAAACCAAACACTGTAATCTTACCATTCAGAAGATGGAGGTAAGAGGACCCAGGCTCAAGGGCATTCTCGGTAATCTAGTGAGTCTGAGTCCAGTCTTGGCTGCATGAGATCCTGTTTGAAGTTCAAAAAAAAAAGAGATGAGAAAATAGCAGCAGGATTAAAATGATAGACTGTCTAATCTTGTTTTATGGATGGAACTGTTAGCTGTTAAAAGCACATGAACACTGATTTCAAACAGAAAAAAAAATCCAATTGTCTCCTCACTGAAATGAATATTGACTATAAAATTTAGCCTGGGTTGAAGATTTCTTTGATAAGAGGGTTATCAGCATCATTCCTATTATAATGACTCCTATAAAGATGATTAAATATATAGATAATAGCAATGTCAATTTGATAACTCACACAATGGTACAGGGAAAATTTTAACCACTGCTGTAAATTAAGTCTGTTAGCCAACCACTTTATTTTTAATTATGAATATTGTCATGATATTTAAAAATAAAATGGATTTGTTTTGTATATTTGAATAATATTTAACAAGTGGTACATTATAAGCCTATTTGGGACTCTTGTTGGTTAATCAATATCATTTCTTCTATTCTCTCTCTCATGCACCATCTTGCAGTTGTCACTGACTTATATGAGACATTAATATATTACATTTGATCTAGAACCTATGCTTCTTTATATTTCTTTTTTACTGAGAGAGGGTTTCTCTATAGCTTTGGAGCCTGCTCTGGAACTAGATCTTGTAGACCAGACTGACCCCAAACTCACAAAGATCCACCTGCCTCTCTCTCCATAGAGCTGGGATTAAAGGTGTGTGCCACCACTGCTCAGCCACTTTTTTGATTTTATCTGGTTTCCACCCTATAAATATGACTGGAAGTTTGTCGCTCCCACATCTCAAACACGAATGTGAAGAACAAGGAGATCAACATGTGCTCCATATTCCCTCACACAGATTGATTTTGCTCATCAAGGCACAAACGTTGAAAAGCACTAACTGCACTATGAGGGTTGATGCACTTTCTTCATAGACTGCTAGGGCTAAAGAGTTAAGACTGTGGATTTAAGGGAATGTCTACTTATATCCTCACAGACACTTTCTCCAAGGTTGTCCCTGCTAAAATCTCTTCAATCTTACACCAATTTGGAGGAAAGTTAGGGTAAGTTTCTACTGAACATGGACATTATCCAAGATGACTATCAGATCAGCCAAGCATACGTGTAATGCTACCTCGGGAAGATACTTTGTCGCCTGTTAATTTTACAGCACATGATGCTTGTCTATTTATTTGCAAGATCTTCCAGAAGAACCTGAGTTACAATTCTAGAGGTCAGCAGCAGAGAAAATGACATATTCTCAAACATTAATAATGTCAAGAGTTGCAAATTTATTGTCAAAATCAATATGACAATAACTTCTTCAAGATGTTGAGCCATCAAAGATCATCTCCTTGAAGAAAGATTTGCCCTCACTCACCACACTGTCTTCCTTCCATTCTTAATGAGAAATCATGTGTCAAAAGAAAATGAATTTTGGCCCTTTGTGGTCACCACTTGACATAACTTCCGTGTTAAAATGAATCAAGCCCATTCAGAACTGGCCTGATCAGAAAACGCACAAAACTGATACAGAAAACAATACCTGTATATCATTAGATTATAGTATCTAAAATTCCCTGATTTTCAGGGTTAGCAATGTTCTAAATTAATAACATTTGCCTCTCTTCTGCTTTAAAACACCATTTCAACGTCAACAAGGAAATATGATACAATTGGGAAAAACAATTATGAAACATTAAACAATAAATTCACCATTTCTACACATAAACTTGTAAGTTAATCATCACATAAATGAAATAGGAAGCTCTATTAGAGTGCATCCAGCACATATGAGAATGATCAAGAATTGCTCCTGCAAGTTTAAAGAGTTTGCATAGCCCTGTGTGGTTTGGAGGAATTCAGCTTAGATCAGCATCTATGTTGGGCCCCTTGTTTGTGCCTCATCATCTCTTCTCATTAGAAAGAAATAGAGATACTCATATTCTTAAACCTTTACAGACATTGAATTCTTAGAAGAATTTTTTCTGCATTTGAGTTCAAAGATGTTACTAAAATTTCATTTTGTTTTACATATTCTTGAAACAAATCCCTGATTTTCTATAAAGAGTGGTTAGGGCATGTGAGGTTGGTCAGTGGGTAATGTTGCCTTGCCACCAAGTCCACCTACATGAATTCTGTTTCTGAAGCTAAGATAGTGGAAAGAGAAAACTAATTCTTAAAAATTGTTTTCTTATCTTTACAGGGACTCACCAATTTGGGGTAAGACAAACTGTGCCATTTGCTGAGTAACAATATGTAGAACATTAATCTGTTATATGGAGCCATGGCAGCTCCACAGGTATAATTTTAGGACTTTAGGAATGCAGTAGAAGAGATACATCAATCATAGATTTATATATAGATAGATATAGAGAGAGAGAATTGGATTAAGAATTCTCCAGTGGCTCTTTCCATTAGCTGCAGCAAAAATGGTATGTCAAACATTAGTTAGGGTCAAGTTTAGTAGCCCCAGGATTTATTTGATATCAGACATATTTGTATTTTGTAAGCTGAATTCATCATGCTTATCTTAGTTATTATCTATTATTCTAAATCACTTGGATGGTTCCAGTCACAACAAGAGTCCAATGACCCAATAACATAACTGTATCTCCCTGCTGAGACACAGCTGGATATTTATTGCTATACTTTCCAGGTTCTCGTCAGTACCTAAGTTTTCTACGAGTGAATATTTCCCCCATAAACAATTACAGCTATCATAACATCTCCCGAGGCGCATAATTTAGGATGAGATATTTAATGTTCTTATACAAGACCTACTCTAGCATGTAAATTTTTTTCCAAACAGAAAGCCAACTCGGTATTCAATTCAATCCAGAATGGTTACTCTTCCCCACAAAGCATTTAAAATGTCATTTTTCACATGCACACGGACATGCATCTCGCTGTACAGTTGCCCTATAGCAATTACACTGTATGGAAAGAAGCTAAATTGGCAACAGCACTATAAAGAATTTTTTATAAAGTTTTATTTGAGCACTTGCCAATGGAAAAAGCGAGAGTTTCTGAAAATAATAATATTGATGCTAACACAAGGAAGAGATCAACCCCATGGAGGACGGTCCGAAGCAAGAAGAGGAAGGAGAAGACTGATACATCTTGATAGGAAAAAACTATTTCATCCTTGCTAAGAGATTCTACTGATCCATTGAGGAAGATGACATGGAAGTGTGTGTGTGAGTGTATACACACAAAAATATAATTCACATAATTCACATTCAGTACATCTGAACATTTATGAAATACACCATATTCTTAGCAAACAAATGCCTTTAGGTTGTTGTGAATACTCAACCTTTGTAAATGTCACTGTGATGCAAAAATATGGCACAATCATATTGGTAGTAACCCTTAGCAAAAAACTATGCTTTTTCTAATCGCTCCTTCCAAAGCAGCCTCAAGTCCACCCATGCACATCTCTCCCCACAGCTTAAGTACAATCCCTTTGTTCTCACTGTGTTCTCTTGGAAGATGAATCACATCAGAGCTACACTGTGAGCCATGTGTATTCCCAGTGCTTCTGTGTGTGGCAGACAGAAACAGTTAACTGTAGCTTAGAAACTTAGAGTAGACAAAGCGTTGCATAGGGATATATGTGAGATATGGATCATTTTGTTATGTTTCCATATAAAGATATAAAAGTTTGAAATAATTTCCTGAGGAAAGGGTCCAATTGGTAGCAATAGGAACCTGTTTCCACACTCAGATAATCAGTGTTAGAAGCTCCCAGGTGTAACTCATGGGCAACTCTGGAGTCTACAAATGGAAAGTTCCTGTGAAAGGCTTCCAACCATAAATTTCAGCAGACTTGGACCATAGACTTGACTTGAGTTTGGTCAACATGAGATCTAATCAAAACGGAAGCTACCCTACATCTTCTCTCATAACCATTGAGAAGGGTACTGAACACTTGTCCCTGAAGGACATACAACATAGAACACAGGAGCAAAGATAGAGGAAAACACCTTGGTTTTTAACTATCGAAAGTATCCTTGTTCTCCAGTTACTAACTGAAGCTTCTGACCATAGGTACAGAGGAACCCTATGCCACATGATGAGACTCAGAATTTCAGGAATCACATCAGTCTCAAAAGGCACACGGTGTGTTGAAAAATATTGTCAAACAAAAACACCATGTCTTGCATAATGGTCCTTCCAGGTCAGGAAAAGGAAGACATTGACATATAAACAAAATGGAGGATCGTTACTTGCTGATTTCCCCATAAGAAATACAACAATAAGTCCTTGTTGTAATGTGTGTTAGACTGCAGCTCAAAGCCATATAAAGAAAATGAGATTCAGATGAAAGGAAAGCTATGAATTGTCTAAAAACTAGTATCACTGTAGCTTTAGATAACTCTGTCTTCTGTATTCTATGTAATATACGACTAAAATATTAAAACAGATTTGTTAGTATAAAGATTGATTGGAATACCACATTCTATTTTCTACATAATTTCTATATAGATGTTTAAGAACTATCTGTTGTTATTTCGGGACATAACATATACACAGACACAATTTTATAGCATGGGCAACTGAAAAGGATAGGAATGAAGCTTTTAAATGAAAAAGATACAAGTTTTCTTTATATTAGGATAGTCTCGCTGGCATCCATTCCAATTAAACTATAACTTGCAACTAAAACATATTAAAATATAATTATCATGAAAACCCCGAAAAGAGAAAATAAAAAGAATATACAAGAAAGGAAACAAGATGGGAGTTTAAAGATTTCATTTTAACACACAATTATGCAACTGAAGAGATGGCTTAGTAATTAAGAACACTGGTTGCTCTTCCAGAAGACTCAGTTTCAATCCCCAGCACCTGCATGAGGGCTCACAACCATACTTAACTCTAGCACCAGGGGACTGAATGGCCTCTACTGAGTTCGTGGTTACCAGGTAAGTATGTAGTATACAGATATGCATGAAGGCAAAACCTCCACACACATCACACAAAAGGTATTTTTTTAA